AAATCATATTGAATAACTTAAATTAACCACAAAAAAAAGAGGCTTGAACTTCAATCAAATTTGAACAAGGACTTGAACAAGTTGGCAGCAAACTTGTGAACTTGATTTGGACATTGCAAATGACTTGAACTTGCATTTGATTTAAAATCAAATGATAAAAACAAAGAAACAAATGAACCAAGTGTCATGGGCATAAGCTCAAGAGGGACTCATGCTTGAACTTTACAAGCTTTGGACTTGAAGAAATAAACATGAATTGAACTCAATTTGAACTTGGGGCCTTGAGTTAGTCAAATTCAAGATATCATGTGATTTGTCATATATTCAAATGAACACTAATAGAAGAGCAACAGTGGATTCTATTGGAAGAATGAACAAGATGTGAATGGAACTATCATTCCAAATGCAATTCAATGGCAAGTCACAATGTTTGATCAATCATATGTAAATGAGAATATCTCCTATATGCATATGGAAAGAGAGTGGTGGTGCAAAGAAGAAATGTTTGAAGATTGCTCTCCTACAACCAACACAAGCTGACATACAAACTCTCAATGACACCAAGAGGCCATATACAAGAAACATAGTGTCCCACAAATAATCAAAGGACTACACTTGCTTATAGATGCATACAACGGTCTTCTATGGATATGGAGCTAGCTTACAAATAAATATAGTAGTAAATGCCTACGAATTATAAAGGAAGACTTGTCATACGTATGACGTGCTATCTACGGATAAATACAAAAGAGCTATAATGGATTATTCTGTGATATAGACACAGTAACATATGTGCAAATCAAAGTTGATGATAACACATTAGGTGCTAATGATCATAAGTTGATACCAAAGATCCATTCCACATTCCATATGTCAGAATCAGTAATGTAGTGAAAAAGACAAGTTATTGATTCAAGATACTGGTCACTGATTTCGAAGTGTAAGGAATTAGTAAGGATATAATCATCCCAGGTAGAAGTGGTGGGTTCTTCAAGCCAATAACAGAAAACAAGGAAGACGACATAATTGGTAAAGCACTTATTGATTTCTATACGAGTTTTGGAAAGAGAAAGTCAGATCAAATCAAGATTGAGTTAATCTTAATTCAACTAAGTTATGAACATTTAGTTGGATCAGATTATAGAGGCTTGCAAATTTCTTGATGAACAGTAGTCGTGCATCCAACATATTGTTGTGTGCAAATATTGAAGTACTACAACAAGTGCAAGCTCCTATGACCCAAAGCAGGAGATTAGTTAGTGCACTACGATCGACCTGGGAAAAGCAACAAATAATGCACGACAGTCTACCTGTACAAAGCAGCGAACAAGTCTATTCAGAAGCTGTTACGTAACGCCACCGAATCTGCAACACTCGTACTAGGGGACAGAAGGCGTCTACAAATACCTTCAAAATACCCCTGCACGTACACCATAAATTGTATACACATAGGTACACTAAAGGGGTATATAAAAATCACCCGCATGGACCCCGACGAGTGTGTTATTGGTACACACGTGACGTTTAGGGAAGCTACACGGGTCGATAAGTGAATTCAAGTTCGAACCCAATGCTTCTATATGGGTCAATAGAAGTCGACAGGGTTCGAACAATCAAACAAGTATACGGTGATGGTGACCAGTATATTTGTTTTAATACATTCATATTAGGCCTTCAAAGGTCTATAACAATACGAATTCACTAAAAAGGGCATAAAAAATACGAAATTCGATCCTCTATCGATAGTTCGACAGAGTTGACAAGATTCAATCAACAAAGAGAAATGACCCCGAACACCCCAATGATGGCCGTGTTGAACGCAGATCTCAACCGGAGGGGTTCCCAAATATTTTCAAATGTCTCCCGAATACCTAATGTTCATTCAAATAATTCAAAGCTCCACCCAAATATCCACGAAAATCCAAAAATCCACAAAATCCAAAATTCCAGATCCCAAAATTCCAAAAATATTTAAAATCTGAAATCTATCCATCAACACTTAAAGCAAAATCCATCCACCCTCCGCAACAGTTTGCCGGGGTGGACAAATTCAAATTTACTTCAGCTCATAAAGAGCCAAATGCCTAGTCGAAAATATCACTAGGATCCATTCTCAAAACAGTCTCCTGCCAGTAAGGGCGTGGTACGTGTCCTCTAACCGGCAGTTTTGCCGCCAAATGGCACTGCAGGTAAACTGTTATGACCCGGGGCCCTCTGAACCGAGTGGTTTTGCCGCCAAATGGCACCATGAAATACCGGTTATGGTCAGCGCCGTTACGTTCCTTATTGACATCAAATCCTTGATATATGAATCAATAGGATATGATCAATAGGGCACAAAGCCCTCTGTAAGCTAAGGTTAATTTAAATTTGATCCCTTAGACAAACATCCAACCCATGGCTGCCGACAATCATCCTTCTGTCAGGTTGGGTCGACTACCTCCTCCGACTAAATAGACCAGGGACCACGATGGCTCGGGACGACGGAACCATGGGATCTTAATCGGGTCCATCATCCATTCCCCCACCATCCGCTTTAGGTGAAAGATGGTGAAATTTCTATTTTAAATATTAAATCTTTCCAAATACCCAAATCCAAACCCAACTTTCCAAATCCCAAACCCATGCTACCACTATATGCCAGATAACACGTATTCTATACGTATCTGATTGACGACTAGCCTTAATCGAAAGTTCTCTCTCGTGATCGAGAGGGGTAATTAACTATAGGGGCTTGCGCCTATAGGAAATCAGAACTCATATCATAAAGTCCTCGCAAAATGAGGGCCAAATCTCTGGGTAGTGTCTTATCTACAAACCCATCTGCCTTCCAAAAATTACCCCGGAATTTAGTTCGTTAAAACTTCATCGCCGAATAAAAGAAAAGCGAGCGGAGGCCAGGGCCGAATTTTCGGAGCCCACAAGATCTCTCTGATCTCTTACAAAATTTGATGAAGCAATAACTCTCACAAATAGCTACAAAAACATCGGAGGATTTGAGGTAGAAGAAAAGTGGAAAAAACAATAGATGCGCATAATCTCAAGAGATTTTTCTCACTCGGAGTTTTCAAATGAAAAATATGAAGTATTCTCTATCAAAGCATTTTTCTTCTATAAAATTTTTCAGTCTCCAATACATTTTAGGGTTTTTGGAAAGGTTTATATACCAAGCACCTAAGAATAAAACCTTAAATTAGGCTTTGTTAGAAAATGTAGGAAGATCGTGCAGTATGATTTGGTCATCGTATAGTACGATGGGTTCAAATAACAAAATCATAAAAAACAAACTCTATTTAGTCATCTAATACCTTAACATCATATTCTACACATTAGGTATATCGTAGAATATGATCATGATCATATAGTACAATTTAGTATGTATCAACCAATATTTTTTATCATTTATATAAGACATTTTAAAATTAGTTTTTTAGCTCACTCTAGTGTGTGTGCTAGTTTTTTTCACTAGTTTTTTCACTTGAAACATCAGTAATAAAAAATGAAAAAAGTGCAATTTTTTACTCAATTTTCGTGCCTTGTAATTTGGATCACCCTCGACACCAGGCTTGATGCTTTGATCTCGACTTCTTGACCTTATCCTCAGATTCTTGATCTATATGTTAGACTGGTCCATTGGACCGGTCCAGTCGGTCCGCGCGGGACCGGCCGAGTCGCGAAACAGGCGACTGGTTTCGCCTGGGCAGAAGCTGCACGCATGCATGGCTTGATGCTTTGATCTCGACTTCTTGACCTTATCCTCAGATTTTTGATCTATATCCTTGCTTAAGTTATCTTGATTTCAGGTTCACACACTCTAGTTGAATTTAGTCATTGTGTATACATGCACTTGTCAATTCTAATTCCTGCAACAAGTATCTTAGTCCAAAAAATAATACATTATTAATTAAACTAAATTATATTTGTGATCATCATAATATATGCTATGAGTTAAAGCTCATGGGATCAACACATATTTGCAACAAAATAGCCCCTTAATACTCTGCATGACTTATAAATCATGTATATGTCATTCTTAAACACAAACTTTGTAAGATTTTTGTAGGCTCTATATGGCCTCATTTCTTAAGAAAACATTTTATCTGCATTTTCCAAGTTAAATGATGATTTAATTTGTCCAATCCCACAAATAATGAGTATGCATAGTTTTAAACATATTTTTCTTTTGATTGAAAAAATTAAGTGCAAGTTATATGCTTATACCCGCTTTTTATGCGTAGACACTTCATTTTTTCTGCGTTACTTCCTCGTCCTAGGTTGGTAAGGCATATGTTGTGAGACCCCAGAATCTAAATCGAATAGAATTATATCTTTTATATTTTAATAATTACAATCAAAATTATTTAATTTTCTTTTAATAATTTAAATTCCAGTAGAAACACATCTATTATTCAAAACATCAATATATATGTATTCATTGCTCCAAAAATCATGTACAAAAGCTAGTTTTCATTCAAATACAATATACTATCTTCTCACTCTTGAGCACAAAATAAATAAATAAATAAAACACATAACAGAAAAACCCGAAGAATCCTGCGTCTTATTAGTCTCACACTCTCGTTCCTCTTCTTTGACCAAAAATCATTAAATCACATATATTGAGCTTAAAAGGTCCAGTAGATCACTAACCCCCTACTACTTAACTCAAAAAATGGAAAAAAAAATAGTATGATGCATGTAATCATTCAGTTCATAATAGTAACAACTAATATGATCATGAATCTGTGCAAAAATAGAAATATCATATTTTTCATTTTAAAATATTTTTCCAATTTCAAGTTGTTACATATGCCACTGACAAATGCCATACCTTTTTATACAACTGAATCATACTCATTGAATGCTTGTTTCCTGATTTGTGATTGAGATATATTTTATGCTAGATGACTTATTAATTCATTATGTTATAACCTATTACTTTGCACGCTTATGAGTGTTAGAACTTTCTAATATTTTTTTTCATTGTGCTGAGATTGCAGCAACTGAACTTGTTACGAGGGCCATACGTGTGATGATGGAATCTGGCTGTGAAGAGGTAACCTTGAAGTGCAAGCTTGTTTATTGGATCAAGTCATCCTATTTTTTAAATGATGTAAATTGATTTCATTTTTTCTTGTGGGAAAATGTTACTAATGCCTGAATGCATATTTTTTTTCTAATTTGGAGTTTGGATGTTAAATCAGTGTAGATTCTATCTTGAATAACTTAAATATTCAAATTGATCATATCATGAATGATTTGTCTATAAATTGGATTTGGGTACAGAAAGATACGGCGTTGGATTTGGGTACAGAAAGAGACGGCATACAAATATTTTTAGGTGCTTTGGTTGTTTCTCCAATTAGTGCAGCTTTTAGAACACGTGTAATTCATAGTCAGGACCGACCAAAGGAGTTTGAAGTTTTTGTTACAATAGAGAATGGTGATAGAGGAGCATCAGCAGTGGCTTTTCAAGTTGTTGAGTTATAACTTCGAGATTCAGTATAAGCCCGGGATGGAAAATAAAGCTGCAGTCTGCAGATGCTCTCTCCAGGTGTTGCGAAGACCCTCAGATTATGGCTCTTTAATCGACGCGTAGGCCCTTCCGTGGGTTTAACTTTAAAAAAAAAAAATCTAGATTCAACACTTTCAATGCTATGTTATTCTCCTTTTGCTTCTCACCTTCATCAATATGCCTTTGAGTCACTCATTGCTCGTAAGTAATTAGTGATCCAAAAAGATTGTTAATTGAATAAACATTTAAATCATTAAACTCTATAATAATAGTTATTTTTGCATCATAAGCAGCAACAACAACAACAACAACAGCATCAAGTCTTTATCCCACTATGTGGGGTCGGCTACATGAATCCTTTTTCTCCATTGTGTTCTATTAAAAGTCAAATTCTTGTTTAAATCTAATAAAGAAAGGTCATTCCTAATATTTTCTAACCAAGTCTTTTTAGGTCTACCCCTACCTTTCTTAATATAAGTCAAATCTAATACCTCTACTCTCCTAACCGGGTCATCGAAAGGCCGTCGTTTTATGTGGCCAAACCATCTAAGGCGACTCTCTCTAATCTTATCTTCTATTGGAGCTACTCCAACCTTTTCACGTATATGCTCATTTCGTATCTTATCTCTAAGGGTAAAGCCACTCATCCACCTGAGCATCCTCATCTCTGTCACACTTAACTTAGTATTATGCTTCTCTTTTAATGGCCAACATTCGGCACCATAAAGCATTGCAGGCCTCACTACCATCTTATAGAATTTTCCCTTAAGTTTGAGGGGTACATTTCTATCACATAACAAGCCCGATGCATTCCTCCACTTCAACCATCCAATTTGAATTCTGCTGATAATATCCCCATCTATTTCACCATCACTTTGAACAATTGATCCAAGATATCTAAAACGTGTACTCTTATTAATGACTTGATCGCCCAAAGTCACAATCCCTTCAGTAGGTCTATTACTACTAAAATTACACTCCATATATTCTGTTTTAGATCTACTCAAGCGAAAACCTTTAGACTCTAAGGTTGACCTCCATAATTCAAGTTTACCTTCAACTCCCTCTCTAGTCTTATCAACAAGAAGAATATCATCAGCAAAAAGCATACACCAAGGTACATCCTCTTGCAAATGTCTAGTGAGAACATCCATGACTAAAGTAAAAAGATATGGGCTTAAGGCTGATCCTTGATGTAACCCAACCGAAATAGGGAAATACTTGGTCAATCCACCTTGTGTTTGAACACAAGTAATAGCTCCTGCATACATATCTTTAATGATTTGAATATAAGCATTATTGACTCCTTTCTTTTCAAGAACTCTCCATAGCACTTCTCTTGGAACTTTATCATATGCTTTTTCTAAATCAATAAATATCATATGTAGATCCTCCTTATTTTCTCTATATTTCTCCATCAAACCTCTTAATAAATGTATGGCTTCCATAGTCGACCTACCCGGCATGAATCCAAATTGATTTTGAGAAACATTAGTATCACGCCGCAACCTATGCTCCATAACTCGCTCCCATAGTTTTAAAGTATGACACATTAACTTAATACCTCTATAATTCGCACAATCTTGTGCATCACCTTTATTCTTAAAAATAGGAATTAACACACTCATTCTCCACTCATCTGGCATCTTTTTAGTCTTCAAAATAGTATTAAAAAGTTTAGTAAGCCATGAAATTCCTTCATCTCCTAAGCATTTCCACACCTGTATTGGAATATCATCAGGTCCAACAGCTTTTCCACCCTTCATTTTCTTTAAAGCCTCTCTAACTTCAGTTTTACTAATACGCCGATAAAAATAGAAATCTTTATTTTCATTTAGGGTGCTAAGGTCACTACAGTCAATCTTATTTTCACAATCTTCATTAAAAAGTTTAGCAAAATATCTCATCCATCTTTGTTGAATATCATCTTCTAAGAAAAGTATTTTTTGATCTTCATCTTTAATACACTTCACTTGAACTAAATCCTTACTACTCCTATCTCTTTGTTTGGTTAACTTATACATATATCTTTCTCCCTCCTTAGTATTTAATCTATTATATAAATCACTAAAAGCTAATCTCTTTGCATCGCATATTGCTTTCTTAGTATCCTTACGAGCCACTTTATATATTTCCCAATTATCAGAATTTTTAAAATTAAACCAATTTTTATAACAAAGCTTCTTATTTTTAATCTTTTCTTGCACATTAGGATTCCACCACCAACTATTTTTACTATTTGGAGCTTTTCCCTTTGATACTCCAAGGACATCTTTTGCAATATTCTTAATATCACTAGCCACTTTTTCCCACATAATATTAGCATCCTCATGCACAGACAAAATCTTACGATCTAAAATCCTATTTCCAAAAATATTTTTGTTAATATTCTTTAAATGCCCCCATCTAATTCTAGAAAATTGTTTTACTTTATTTTTTATTTTATGCCCTTTTATCTTAAAGTTCAAAACTAATAATCGATGTTGGTTACATAAACTTTCACTCGGAATAACTTTACAATCTTTGCAATCTAAACGATTTAATTTTCTAATAATAAAATAGTCAATCTGGGTTGTACTATATCCATTTTTATAAGTAATGAGATGCTCATTCATTTTCTTAAATAAAGTATTAGCAATTGAAAAATCATAAGCTAAACAAAAATCCAATATGGTCTTGCCACCTTCATTCGTCGTTCCAAATCCATGGCCACCATGAATGCTTTTAAAATCATCTACCTCTCTACCAAGATGTCCATTTAAATCTCCTCCAATAAAAACTCTTTCTTCAAGAGCTATATTTTGTATTAATTCTTCTAAGTCATTCCAAAAATTTAATTTAGAACTCATATCCAAACCTACTTGAGGAAACATAAATTTCAAACGTAATATTATAAAAAAGGTCATTCCTAATATTTTTTCTCAACTTCATATGAAACATAAATTTCAAACGTAATGTTATAGCCTCTTAGTAGATATTTAGATGGCATCAAGTATGGAGGAATGATTATTGTTACAATATACTCTCATAAGAGTCTGATGCGTCTTGGAAGTAAAAACAACAAAATAGATATAAGAACAATGCAAGAATACCTAACGAAAGATACAATTGATGTACTATTCGAGAGGTAGATCAACTCTCCCACAAATCCTATTTGCTTCTAGGAAACTCACACCAAATCCTAGAAAATAAATTCAGCAAATATATAATGATAACCCTAGACAAAACTCTGCCTTCAATAGCCCTCATACATAATAAACACAATTGGAACTTTCCTAAACAGCATAAATACAATTAATAAACATTTCTAAATAATTAAAATATTACTAAACAATATAAACACAATTAAGAAACTGATGCAATAGCTGGCAGCACGACCGCCAAGGTGGGTAGCAACCCAAGTGCCTAGGTGGGCCCATGACCTCCTTTATCACCTATAGGAGAAGAGGCTTTGGGGGAAACTCTTTGGGAAAGATGTAATAGACATTTATTAGAGGATTTTGGGTTGTTGGGGGAGATTGTGGGGGTTAGGGTTTATGTTTGGAATTTATTTGCTTCAATAGTTTTTTGTGGAAGTTATTGGATTTCTAGTGGCTGCTAGGAATTGTGGGAGAGATGATTCACAACTTGAATAGTAAATCAACTTGTATCTTGTCTTTCTTTGCTTGGAGATTAGTAATTACAGCCCACCCTTGGTGCTATTTCTGGATCTATTTGGAGTAAATGTTATATTTTTTATATTGTTGTGTTGTTTTGATTATCAAATCCTATCAAATTAGTATCATAGCATGATTCAGGACCTAAGGCGCCAAAGAAAGTGGATGTTTTGGAAGAGAAACTAGAAGGAGAAATTGGTCTATTCAAATTTGAAGTTGAGGAAAGGATTTCATCAATGGAAGGAAGATTTTCTAACCTAGAGGATATAATGAAAAAATATTGGAGCATCACACCCAACCGACAACATTAGAGGCAAGGGCACTGATGGGTAGCCAAGGAAGTGGGGGAAACCCTAATATCGGCACAATGAGGGATGATCGAGAGGTAGAAATATTAGGCAACAGGGAAAATATGCCACCTCTTGAATCGATAACTAGGTGGGAAAAATGGGTGAATGATATAACATGAGGAGAAATTGGGAGGAAGAAATAAGGAGGGCTGATTTTGAGGAAGAGGATATTTATGAAAGGAGGGGTGGGAGAGAACAATGGAGAGATCACAACAACGATATATAGGAGGAGCTAGAGGTGGAAGAGGAAGTTGGGGTGGAGGGGATCCGAGAGTGCGAAAGCTGAAGATGCTCATTTTTTAGGGAGGAGATGCTCATGGGTGGATCTATAGGGTGGAGAGATACTTTGCAGTGAATGAGCTGACACAGGAGGAGAGATTCACGACGACGACTTTATGCTTGGAGGGGAAGGCCTTGTATTGGTATGAGTGGAGAGACATAAGAGATCCAATCCGATTGTGGAGGGAGCTCAAAGATGGTTTATTAAAATGTTTCTGAAATAGTCAGGAAGGAGATTTCTACAAGTAGTCCTTTG